CCCTTGCTAAAAGAGCAGAACTGAGATGACTTAAATGCTGAATTATATTCCTCCTATTCCTGAATCATCAACAGCATAATGTAGTAAAATCTAGAGTAGTTAGCCCAGGAAGAGTTCATATTTTAAAAATCCTATAGTATTTTCTCAGAAGTTTCTGGGGTGGGGGGGAGGGAAGGGAGAAACAAACGTTTTTTCGGGGGTTTGTTTTTTTAGACATGAATTGAAATGTACTAAGAATTACATTAAGCTAGCCATGCCCAATTTACTTGAAATATGTTTTTGTGCCAGACACGAATGTACATATTAATTTGCTGCTGGAGTTTACAGCAGTGGCCTTTATTTTAAAAGTCGCTCTTTCCACAAGCAAAGCCCTGAGGGAAGATGACAGCAGCTGTTGTAGTAGCTGCTGTCACCCTCTGAAGCTGTTGTGACAAATGAAGATCCAAATCTTCAGATACAATTAACTTATAGCTAAGTCACTATATTACCTTACACAATCTCAGCATGCTTTCTCACTGAAATCTGAACTTTAGTAATTGTTCTGGAAAGAAAAGCTTGTTATCTAGTAACCAAGTCAATGAACCTTATAGATTCAATCATTCTTTAAACTTGTACAAATCAGCAAAAGTTTAAATAAGCAGGCTGAAACTCATATGCTGATGAGTAAGTCATACTGTAAAAAAGCCCAACTATAAAATTAAAAACAGATTGTATTCAGAAAGCTGGAAGATAAGTTGCTTTAATAAATGTATTATTTTTCTGTGTTGTTCTATACACGTAGGAAAAAAAACATATAGATATTTTGATTTCCTGCTCAGCTTTCAAACTGAAGAGTTGTTTGGTGGAGGAAGAGACTAGTATCTGTTTCACACTCCCATAATTTTGTAAGAGATTATTTATTCTCATTTTGTTACTATTAAAAATACAGGACATGGATAAGGACATTTAAAACATAAATAGAAATGTTTTCGGAACATGTGCTCCAACAAATAAAATAGTGCAATAGCATCTCAAAATAATCATCAGAAAAATGTCAATCCAGACCTTTCAAAAGGAAGTATTCTCTTTATGCAGAAGCTTTCATATTATCATTTTATTAGTGAAATGGAGGCCTGTGAGTTTTCATATCCAAACATGGTCAGAAGTAAATGACATTTGTGGGCATGTGGTGTGCAAGAAAATAAAACAAGTGCCTTGTTTTGGGATGGCAAAAATGCAGAAAAAAGATTTGTCTGGAGTCAGGGCCAACTGTGCGGCAGAAAAAGTCCTTTTGGCAATATGGGGGCACTTTTACATGTGTCTTGGCGGGGAGGTAGCACTTTAATTAGAGTGTCTCTGAGAGCTGTTCTAATTAAAGTGCCACTGCATCTCCTGTATCAGCATTCCCGCTGCCATTTATAAGCGTGGAGACGCTGATACATGAGATGTAGGAGCGTGGTAATCGCTGATCAAGTCTGCTCTGGCATGCTGGAATTCCAGCATGTCAGAGCAGCTTCCATGCCGACGTATAGGCGCCTATAGTGTTTCCAGGAAGCATGGCATCCTAGGAGACAGTGTGGGTGAAGTAGCAGGAACTTCCTGGTGTGGCAGGACTGCAACAAAGCAAGCCCCCAGACCCTTGGAAAGCCAGTAACATGGCTGTTACTTCTTTACTGTAAATAGTTCTTTATATAAATGCCTGTAAATAATGAAGTGTTTTTTCCACACCACAAGTTTCATTAAATAACAAACTGAATATAGACGATCGCCCATTTTCAGCTATCTTAGTGGTTCTTCAGCCAAAACATATTGCTGCAGCTGTGAGAGGGTTAACGCAGGACCTGCTTTTTGTAGGCCCAGGGAGAAGCAGCAGTCATCTTGGGAATCCTAATCATGTCCTCTTAATTGTTACCTCAGCTTGCTTGGTATCTTCTGCCAATGTATTGAGTATAGTCAACTCTGTCCTTCATGCCATTAATAGAGATACTCAAAATTACTAATCCAAGGCAGATGTCTGGGAAATCCCAGTTGATACCTTCCCAGTTTGGCCTTCAGTTATTAAGGACTACATTTTGTGTACCATTATCTAGCCAGTTGGGCACCCACCTAGTACTATTTTGCCTCAACTATATTTCTTTAGCTTAATTATGAAAATGTATTGAGACTGTTAAAAGCCTTACAAAAACTAAGACGTATCAGATCTACTACTCAGCCCCATCTACAAGGCCCAACACCTCAGCACTAAAGGAAATCAGATTGGTTAAAATAACTTACTCTTATCAAATTCTTATGAGCTGTTACAAACAATAGGCTAATTACTAGGTAATTATAAAGTATTTAATGATTTGTTCTAATATCTTTCCAGGTATCAAAGCTAGGGAATTACATCCCAGTCAGTCACAGCACTACTCTCCCCTCCCCCCCCCCCCCCCCCCCTTTTTTTTTTAAAGATAGAAAAAAAAAAAAAGATATGTTGCTGTTTCCCGTTTCTGGAACACACTTGACCAGTGTAAATTCTCAAAAGGACAGCCAACAATTGCATAATTACTTCAGCCAGTTCTTTCAGCCGTCTACGATGAATATATCAGGCCCTGCTGATACGAAAACATCCAACTTAAATAATATCTGACTTGTTTTTTCTCTACTCTAAGCTAAGTTCCTACTATCTTGTCCTTTTTGCTGTGGTTATCTTCTAATAATGGACCTTGCGAAGATTAAAGCAAAACTGAAAAAACCAAAAACATTAAGCACCTAAACCTTATACACGCCATCCATTATTAGCTTCCTCTCCTCATTCAGTAACATAATTTTCATTTCCCTTGGTCTTCTTCTTACTTCTTATGTATTTAACATTGCCTTTCACATCCTTTACTACCTGTGTCTCCTACAATACTATTGTATTCCTCCTTCGTAATATGGCCAAGTAGTAACTTGACACACATTTAATGTTATACAGTACAGAAAATATTCAGAAGTATAAACATTGAATAAAAACTGGTAATTAAATCTTTATTTAACATCTGAGTAACAACTCTAAAGCATGTATTCCTAATAGCTAAATTTGATGGTCTTGGGGATTTAGAATATTTTTCTAGAATATTTATTGAATAAACTAAGACTCTAAATGCAGGCATGTATGAGTGCTAATATCAAGTTGCATTGTGAGCTATCCTGAAGACCCACATAGAAGACTGAGGGAGCATAAGGCACCCCTTAGCAGGTTGTATTGGCTACTTGCAGCAGTAGACACAGCACAGGAAAAGAAGCTTCTGCAGAGTAGGGGACAGGATTTTGGATTCAGTCCTGCCCCCCCATTGTGACAGCAAATTTATACAGCACCATGTATAAGATCTGGAGTGGGGACAAATTAGAAGAATATTAAGACTTTTCTGTTTCTCTTAATCCATTTCCCAGGTGCTGGCAGGCATTAACCATGCAATAAATTGTAGCATGCTGCTTCAACATAGCTGCCCGCTGCTTGATCCCTGGCAGTAAAGTAACTGTTGGGATCCAGCATAAAGTTCCTCAGCTCCAAATGACACCATTATCTTAATGGCTGCCAAGGGCTGCACAAGAATATGCTGTCACTTACGCAAAGTTTTTGACAAAGATGTAATTTAGCTTAGCAAGTGCCTAGGGATGTGCTATAGTTATCCGAAAACAATTTAATCAGATATTTATGTTAACAATTGACATCAGATGACTCTCTTATATACATTCATACATACTATTTTTAAAAAACACATGTAATGAATTTTTTAGAGTACCTGTTTTTTTACTGCAATTTTAAAAGTAAAAGATACTTGCATATTATTGGCCTTGCATATAACATACAAGTAAACACAGAACCAGTACCTTTTTCATATCCCACACAGACACTTGGCTTTATTGACTCTTCTGTCTTACTTTCCCATGCTACAATCTTAGAGGATGGCTGGCCTTTTCCAGTTCTATCCAGTAATCCAAGAACATGATGACCAATTGTTTCTTCTACAGCAACAGTTGTCTTCACAACTTCTAACAGAATCCTCAGGAGTCTGTTGTTAGCGTTCTGTAGAGCATGCCTACATGTATGGACAGAACAGAAACTAAATCAGTAATTTGATACCTTTCCTGCCTGTGCATGGACATACAATTTTTGTTTTACATGTGAAATACTAGAAAGAGGAAAAATGTGTTACTGATTCAGTAGAATTAGCATTTTCTTAAGATTGCAAGATATCATTCATATACATTCTATATTAGCATACTGACGACAGCAGTCCACAGTCAAGCAGTTTTACAACACAGAACTGAAAACTACAATTTTGAGATTTTTTTTCCCCCCCTGGCAATTCTCTTTTTAAATATGGTCAAGCAATGCCATATTTGTCAATAATCCAATTAAAAACCCCCTCTCTCCTCACCATGTTTCACAACTTGTGAAACCTGTTTTATTGGACATAGGCTAAGATTGGATGGCTAGGAATGACTGAAAACCAGGCAGAATTTTACAACTTGAACTTCTGAGACTGGTTAGGTAGACTCTTCATGATGTTTTTAATATCTGAAACCACCCCTCTTTACAAGACAAAGAATGTTATATTATCTCAAAAAAAGATGAGACATTCAGACTTTGGTAAAATATTTTAGGCTAATACTACTAAGAGAGAGAAACCACAATTTTTTGTACTCTACATTTTTTTAAAGTAGTGTTTTAATTATTGGGAATTAATTAATGTCCATTGAGTGCAATAAAAGAATAAGTGAAATAAAATTAACTCGAGTTTAGTAAAAAGACAAAACTTCAACCTTTTCACACAAAAAATTGCTTAATACAAAAGTGTTTGTTTCCTAGTTTAAAGAAAACCTTCTTCTTCCAACCCATTCAAATAGGCCTTGAAAGACTTTAATACTCATGGGGCAGAATTTAGAAAAATAAAAATAAATACTACAATAAGTATTACTTCCCATCTGTAGTTACAGATGACCACAACATCCAGTATAATCATGACTTTACACTGGTAATATGCACTTTTAAATACAGAGGAGAGCTGTCCAACTGGGAGCCCATAGCTGCGTGCAGCCCCTGAGGGGCTACGTTGTGGCTCCCACTTGGCTGCTGTTTCCCACCATTACACTGGCTGCAGCAACAGCCAGGGAGTCCAGGCTCCCCCTTCCTCTGGCCTTCCCCATCTGCCCTTACCCCTGCCCTTGGCCTACTGTGGGGGGGTAGCAGAGCACTGGGGGAGCCTATAGCCTGCTGGTGGAGCAGGGAATTTGCAGTTGGGGACCTAAGGGTGTCAGGATGCCCAGGTAGGGGGTGCAGCAGCAGAGGACACGTAGTACCGTGGTGGGGGTATGGGGAACAGCAGATTGTAGGAAGGGAACGTGTGGTGCAGTAGGCATGAAGAGCAGCAGTGTTGAGGGAGGCTGGAGGGAAGGTTGCCCAGGACAGAGAGAGAGCAGCAGTGGGGCATCTGGGTGCTCTGTGCAGTGGGATGGAAGGCACTGGGCACCCAAGACCCATGGCCCCCATTGATGTGGTCCCTGGCCCCTTAAAAGTTGAACAGCCCAGATATGAGTCTGTCCGCTTATATGTAATGAATACATGAATATAAACATTAAAAATGTTATCTATATTAGCACAGTGTATCAATTCTGAATGTCAGAATTCCTGCCTTTTCAAAAAATTACTGTACTCCATGATGAAGATCAATTGTGCTTACACCTGTGAGATCAAGACTCCACATTGAAACTCAGAAAAAAATATCAAGAGAATGGGGGAGCATGCAAGGTAATAAAAGTTAGAAGAGACAGCAATGAAATCATTCAAGGTAAATTTATGTTTAAAAAGAAAGCTGAGACTACAAAAATAAATGAAATTTTAGAGGTTTTATTACAATAATGCAATCTCTTAACTGCAGTAAAAAGTGAACAACAAAAAGTTGTGCACAATCCCTTGCCCTCCCCCCCCACCAAATGGAAAATTTCTCAGACACTATTTTATAAATGTCTAAATTATACTACAGAGTTGGGAAAGATGCTAGACAGCCTTTGAGCCCCAAATGTCTCTCCTTAGGTCTGAGAAAGAAGCAAACACATTCTAAGCTAAATACCATATACAATAATCTTTTGTTTAAAAACATTAAGTAAATGAAAAGCAAAGCTTGCTTCTCTCATATTCATTGGCGAGTAATAACTACAATCCTGCCACTAAACTATGCCGTGCAGCATAAGCAACATTTAAAACTTTGAAAATGAAAACAGACCATTGTGCTTCTGTGGAAACTTCTAATTTAAAGGTTAGACTGAATTCAAAGTACCTTTCTTTAGAAAGAACTGCTGAAGATGTTTCTTCAGGGTTCTCTCTTCCTTCTTCATCCTCTAAGATGGGCTCTTTTGATTCGGTTTGATTTTCTTTTTCACTCTGAATTAATTTTTGTAAAGGGAGAGAGGACAAAAAAGACAAAAATCCTGTCATGCTGGACTCAACATGCTATCCTGATGCACAGTTACATCATGAAATAAAACACCTGCAAAAGCTATGTACTATTTGAAATAAAAAAGCAATCCTTTTGTCCAAGATTACTAGTATCAAGGAACAATAATAATATATAGGGAGTGGGGAAAATACGAGGGATCGAAGGCAAGGCTTGTTAGAAAGAAGTTTGTTATCTTAATAAACACTTCCTAGGTTTCTGGTTGGATGTTGCTATAGCAACATTAAAATTGGACTTTACCTGAATTAAAAAGATATATAAAACTTAGGCTCCACCTCTCCTCACTGTTTAGTATATACCGACTAAATAAAACTTAACAAATAATACTAACATGCATCACTGTACTGAATGGCAGACAAAAAAAGATCCTATTGTATGTATATGCCAGGGCTTCTAAGGCAGTCAAAGTCCATATTTACCTGTGTTTGCGTACTGCTGTTACGTAGCTCACAATACAACCTCTCCCTTCCAGGTACAGAATGCTTCTTTAATGATTCTAGTTCCTCTAAAAGCATTCTCTCTCTCTCTGTAACCAAGCTGTCATTCTCCAGTGAATCACTCTATAAAAGAACCATCATAGAGACAGGCTTTTACCTTTGGGTATTAATGATTTCTGTCACTTTTAATACTCAGCATGTCTTGCACAAGGAAAATACAGCCCAGTCTGTCAAGTGGTTAAAAGGAAATGAAAATTTTTCCAAAACAGACAAAAACTAGTAAGTGTATTTGGTATCTTAAGGTGGATTTTCATACAACTGTTATAAAACTCTTTTAAAGCAGTATGGTTATACTGGATGCTACAGACATTTTGAGAGTTTACACACACACACACACACACACACACACACTGTAGTAGGATATCTAGTATTCTATCTGGATAGTATGTTTTCTAGAATAGGCTTTCACTGCAGTCATACAAGGCAAAAAAAAAAAAAATGTATAACAAAATAGAAGAAGACCTAAAAGTATCCTTGATTTTAAATTTACATTTTACTTCTCGTACAGCTCTCATGGCCAAACATTAGAAGACAGCGAAGCTAGAAGCCTAAACACCAACTCGATGTCTCTCATCAATAACTCCACCCCCTCCTGATGCCAAGATGTGATGGAAGGGAGACAGAGGCCAGGAGGACATGGACAGAGAGAATGCTACCTTAGGGGAGCAATTCCAAGGCAAAGGATGGGAAGAGGCCCACAGTGATACTAGAATAAGCTATCTAGACCTGCTATCTAAACTCCTGCAGTTGCTTCAAAGGAGAAACAGGAGTGTTAGCCAGATACAAATCACAGTGATCTGGAATAGCAGGTCACCACTATACCACCTTTCCTCATGAAGACAACAGAAAGTATGTGAGGTAAAATCCAGTGTACGAGGAGCATAATAATAGACTGGTGGACACTTGTATTGCAGTGGAGTTCCATTCCCCATGGAATTGAACTTTAGGGTTCTCTCATATTTATTTTTATACATATTTTTTAAATGCTTCACCATTGAAATGAAGTATCCAACACATATGGATGCACCACTACAATGGAATAAATGGGTCAGAATTCAGGATTGTTTTGATTTCACCTGATATCCAGGTAGAAACAACAGATATGCAGTAGTAGGAGATCAAACTGCTTAATGCCATCAATTAAGCTGGCAAAACTGATGAAGGTTTCAACCCAAAGAGCTTCATGACAGTTTAAGGCATTGATAAAATGTATTCTTTTAAATCTGCTTGGCTGTAGTGAGGTCTCAAAAACAAGCTAGGTTCAGTTGTCAGCTGCCCTTGCTCCAAACCCATATTACCTCCGCTAACTGCATTTTAAGTCTTTCAATCTCCGCTAAGAGCTGTTCTTGATTTTCTTTTTCCCGCTCCATTTGTTGCATATGCCCCTGCCTCAATGTTTCTGTTGCCTGCTGATGTTCCTGATACTGTCGCACAAGTTCCTGTCGCATGTCTTCCAAATGCTCTTCATACAACAACAGTTGACTTGAGGTTTCTGTGCTGGATGCCATCATACTATTATTTCGCTGTAATATATTAATTATTTTTAGTATCATATGTGCTGGTACATACTGTATGAAATATTTAAATTGTTTTTTCAAAAATAATTGCACAAGTTATAACATCCATTAACCAAAATATCAACTTGTTTCAGGCTTCTTGAAAGCCCAAATGTTAAAGAATCATAAGCCGCCCCCATAAGAGAAAGAACAATCCCTTTCATAACTGTAAACAAAACAAAGACATAAATGGTTTTCAAAACAAAGACAAGTACCATATTTACCCAAATTCAAGACAACCCTGAATTTAAGACCACCCACTAATAATCAGATTCCAGACATGGAAAATGTATAAGTGTATAATAATTTTCCATGTCTAGAATCGAATTATTGGAGGATCATCTTAAATCATCTCCCACTACTACTGCAGGCACTGGAGGTGGGGAACAGATGATGAGGGAGCAGTAACAGGGCAGGTGGTAGAGGGGACATACCTTGGGTAAGGCAGTGGGGGGGGGCACAAGGTAGGGCAGGTGGTGGGGAGGCAGTAATCAAGCAGGCATCAACGAGGAACAGTGGGGGACAGGCAGTAAGGAGGCAGGTAGCAGAAGGTACAGTGGGGGACAGGCAGTGTGGAGATGGTGGGGGAGGCAGGCAGCTTTCCCCTGCCACCTGTCCCCCCTGCCACTTGCCCACACTTTGTGCCTGCCCTCCACAGCCTCAGGTCCCCACCCCTTCCTCCCTCCCCCACAAAGTCTCCAACCCCACCCACCTGCCCCTCCACCTCCCCCTTACCTTTGCTCTGCTGTCAGTAAGCTCCATCCCTGCTACAGCGTGGGGCACTGAATATGACCCCTGTCCAGCCCCACAGCAGTAGCACAGAGCCAGCGTTGCTACTACAGGGCTGGGCTGGGGCTGGAACTGCCCCATAAGACATCATACTTGGATTCCAAAATAAGGGCCTTTCCCCTCATGTTAAATGAAGGAAAAAGCATCTTGGAATCAAGTAAATATAGTATCAAGGTTTATTTGCAGGGAATGATAACGGACAACAGGAACTCATTTATGCTCTTTTATCTGACCTTGACCATTGTAATTTCCTGCTCACTGCAATTTATGATCCACTTCTCAAGTTTATAGAAAATGCTACTACTTAATCATCATCCTTTACTACTGCAATATAGTGACTGCAGCTACTATCATGTCTTAGGTCTGTATACTGTTGTTTTAAGCTACAAACTCGCATTTGGTCTTCAGGTCAGGGCACCAATGACTTGTTTACCAAAGATTAATCTAAAGTAAAATGTTGTTTTTATGGTGCTAATTAAGTATAGGAATCTATACATTATGTGTTTCAGTAACAGACATTAACATTCAGGTAATATTTGTACTGTGCAATTATCACAAGAATCAATCAGACACATTTGATGTTACTTAAAAATTAAAATGGAATCTGTATTTTTATTGTCTTGTAATTGCTTCCAAGGAATCATCTGCATTTTAAAAGCTTTTAAAGTCAATTATGAAAAGCAAATACAACATAAAATTTGTTTCAAACTGAGCAGAATATAGATCTTAAGGTTTCAAATAATTGCAATGCATGGACTACAAAGACAATAATTTACTATATTGTAGTACATTTTTTATCTGAGTCTATTCACAAATGTGATGGAGAAAAATGAGATGACCTATTATGATTGGTTCTTTTGCATCTTTATTATAGTATTCAATATAGAACTTTTGGGCACCTATACACATGCCTGATACTTGCTCTGACGTGTTCTAGAACATGTCAGAGCATTCTAATTAGAACACTTCAGCAGCCTCGGTGTCATGTGTATTCAGTGTCCCCGCCTTTCAAAATGGCAGCGGGAGCTCTTTAACTAAGGCTCATCAAACAAACTTTAGTTAAAGCACCTCCACTGCCATTGTGAAGCACAGAACACTGAATACGAGACACTGTGGGAGATTTAATTAGAGCGGCTCCTGAGAGCTGCTCCAATTAAGACACTCCCCTTGTCCCCAGCCCAGAGCATGTGTAAAGATGCTCTTTGTTTTTAAACCCTAATCTTACTGAGAACAACATGAAGATGTTAATCAACATGAAAATGTTTGATACAGATCACATATTTAAAATTATTGTCGTTATAATTTATCCTTTCAGATGGCATTTAAGAGGGATACTGCTAGGTTAAGAAAGCATATATTTACACAATTTATTTATAGCACTAGCAGTATATACTAATTAATATTAAAAGCTGCTGCTAAATCTAGCTACGTTTCAACTATTTATGCCATTTCTCACAACTTTTGATCAAGAACTGGATCATTCAGTTTCACTACATTTGCTTTATGATCAAACAAATATAATGCTTCAATATTAAGCACTGAAGGGGAATAACTAAAGAACTTCATTAAAATTAGCCTTTTCCATTAAAAAATATAAAAACCCAATAAATAATGGCCTAAGCTACATAACAGTAACTGGAATAATGGTAAAACTTTCTGTGAACAGATGGAAAATGAAATGAAATTGTCTGAAATATAAATATGCTATTTCACAGAACAAATAGATTGACAATGTCTTTATACTTACTAGTATTTCCTTCAGCTCAAATTCTGTGTGTCGGGAGGAAGATTCAACTGATAATTTCATTTCCTGCTTGCTTGGTCCCAGCATGTAAAGAGGCCCAGCAGTTGATTCAAATTGTTCTCCGAGAGAAGGAATATCACTGGACTCTTCACTGAGCTCCTTGCTAAGTGGTTTCAGTTCTTCATGTTTAATGTCTTTTTTCTTTTCTTTGCTAAGAAGGGTGTCTAACTCTTCTTCACTGCATTTCTGTATAATTTCAAAATGTCTTTCCTGTTGATGGACAATTTCTGTTTGTACTACTGACAGACTTACTTCTTTCTGTCTAGCCATTCTTGCCAGTTCAGTCTGTTGGGCAAATGCTACACTCATTTGCACGATAACCTGAATAAGAAAATAGTGTCTTTAAAAAACACACTGCGACATCAATTACTGGTAAAGAAGAATCAGTAAAACATGTAATAAAGATTTAAAACTATTATTTTATTAAAATAAAAAGCTATAAATAAAGCACATCAATTAATCAAGGATATTTCTTTTTAAAATAGAGTATTAAAATAGAGAAATATTACTAGGATTTAAACCATCTTGTCTATTAAAAAAATCTCAAAAACTTGAATTCTACAGCCTGACTACAAACCACGCAAGTATTTGTTTATTTTTCAAAAAGTATCTTTTATTAATCTGATTGACTGATCATTTGTTTTTTTAAGTATGTGGTCTTAGAATAAAAGGAGATGGATTTTGTCTCCCTAAAAATCTTCATATACTTCTGATGAGTAAATGAATTGAAAATAAACTCTGCAAGAATGAGAGGAATTTTTTCATCAAAAATAAACATGGCATAGTTGTTCTAGTGAAAGCTGTTTATAAAACCTTAATAGTACTCTTCATATTTTACAAAATGTTACATTACCCAAATTCTAAGAAAAAAAAAAAATCAACAACAAAATCTTTAAGAATAAAAAGCTAAGAGTACAAACGAATAAGAATCTTCTCTCCTAACTTTCTAAATAATTCCCAATGTGAGGACACTAGAGTCTGGCTGGATGAAGATGCAGACACTTAAAAATATCAGTTAATGGCAATACTCATAGGGCATCTATACATGTGCCCGACACCTGCTCCTACGCATATTAATTAGTACGCTGCAGCAGTCTGTGTCACATGCATTCAGCATCCTGCACTTCAAATTAGTGGTGGGGGTGCTTTAAGTAAATCCTGTCGAATGAGCTTAATTAAAAAGTGCCCTTGCTACCATTTTGAAATGTGGGATACTGAATACATGAGACAATGGGGGTGCTTTAATTAGAACAACTCACAAGAGCAGCTGTAATTAAAAGCACCTCCTCCCTCACCCACCCTGAAGCGTGTGTGAAGATGTCCTTAGTTTCTCCATAGGAACCAACTTTAACCATTTATTGTTTTAGGATTTTTAGGATAGGACAACCAGGAAGACAGATATTTGTTAAGAAAATAAAGGGTTTACTAGTGTACACTAAATGAATAAAAAAGAACAGAAAAATAAAGTAGGATTTGTATAGGCTTCATGCAAAGCATGTCAAAAGCTTAGTGTTTCATATAGGTTTTAAAAATTCTTCCACATTCAGAACCAGAATGAAACAGTTCCTTATAAATAAATATAATAAAGATAAAAATATATGTGTTCTCTAGTTCTCTGAGCTGCCAGAAATAATAAGTAAAAACAGAAGGTTATACAGTTTAAAAAAAGTTATTGTAAAGTTTTACCTTAGCCATTTCTTGTTCTAATCGTTCTTGGTACTGTTTTTCCAATAACTGAATAATATTCATTTCATTTTTTACTTCTATTTCACTAGGAAACTGCAATACAAATGTCAAACAATCTTAAATGATTTAAATGATTTCTTGCTTCTGTTAGTTGAAGTAATTTTGGCCAATAAGTAAAAGAACAGAGTTGAAATTGGGAAAAAAGGTTTCTTACTGCTTCTCCATAAGCAGCTATAAAAGCAAGACTAAAAGATAAGTACCAGTTCAATGCTCCAATACTGTCTGAACCCTGAGACAGAAAAGAACAGAAAGGCTATGACCACACCACACTCCTCAGCACATCTAAGCTACAATATTGCCAGTGCTAAAAGTTTCAAGATCATAAGCCAGGTTCCAAAGAATCAGGGCAGTTACTTTAAAATACCATATCTTTTAATTGGTCTTTTATTTTTTGAGCATTTAAGAATTACCGTTTCACACCTTCTGTAACCTCAAAGTCTAGACACTTTTTAAATAAATGTTGAGAATCTCTTATAAACACAACTTCTGGAGGTAGTCTTATAAGAAAAACTATAATATTTGAAAGACTGAAAAGAAAAAAATCACAAGAGCTAGGAACACTAGAACTGCCTTCAACATATGCAGGAAAAGAGGCACAACCCAAATACATCTCTGATGCATAGAAAAAGCAATTAAGTTTTACTGCCCATCAGAATTTTTGATAAATGCATTTTCATGGACTGAATTAACAATATTTTTCATTTCCGACATAGTAATTTAGTTATTCATTATGGCTTATAAATGATTACAATTATAATAATTTATTTTTGCTATAAAATATAACTCCTATTTCAATGATGTTAAGTAAATAAGTAAACAATTTATGGTGAGAATACTTAATAACATTAATATTTTTGAATTACACTGTACCTCTACTGCCTCGTTTGTACTTTGTTGAGAAATGTTTTCAGCATGTTTCATTTTCAGCATGACCTCTTTAATGTTTACCTGCGAGTCTCCAGGTATACTAAAATATAAAAGAAAGAGTGGGAGTTTAATATTTCAGAACATTCATTTTAAATGTCACAATCCTGCCAGTTAAATAAATAATAAAACGTTATCAGAGCAAGGACAATTGTACATAGGATGCAAACTCTTAGGTATTCTTCAACAGAACAATGAAAAATGATTATTATTTTATTTGTATTGCAGTAACTAAAGGGGGCAACTGGGGCCACAGCACTGGGCACAGACTCAGGGGAAGCGAGGGGTAAGGTGGGGGAAAGGCAGGAAGAGGGGCACAAAAAGAGCCCTGACTCCAGCAGTGGCTGATCCTGCAGCTGTGATCAGCACCATTCCAGTTGGTGCTGCCCAGCTACATCTCTGTGCAGTAATACCCCCCACAATCAGCATCAACTCCAGTGTATTGATATATCTATATCCTACTTGGTACAGTTGCTATTGCAATTGTCCATTTGCAACAATACAGGATAAGTGAACAGGACAAATTAGAAGAGCAAAGTGAAGTTGACAATATAGGAAATGGAGCTAGGATCCTACAGTTACATATGCTAGCAGTACAACATTTTGGCCATTCAAACTTGAACACAAAGTTTGGGATTTTCAAAACAACTCAAGTAAATTAGGAGTGCAGTTCTTATTTATTGGAAAAGGACTTGTGGTTCTAAGGTTACGTCTGGAATGCCAAAAACACCTCAACTCTGACCCATGCCTTGACTTGGCATATGAGGGGCAGACCGTAGGGGAGCCATGAGGAGCCTGATCCTTATTGCTAGTGATAGCTGCATGCGTTGCTCCAGGCAGACAGCGGGTGAGGGGCCAGGGTTTGCTGTCTTGGCCCATTCCCCACTCTGTGCCAAGGCACACATGCAGTCACCATTGGCATGGCGCTGATACCAAGGCTCTGCAGCCTATCCACCAGCTGCACTAGGCTCCGAAGCCCTGGCCAGGCTCCATGGCAGTAGCGGGTGCATGCATGCATGCCTCTGGATGGACAGCGGAGGTGGCGACCTGGGGCAGCACAAACTCAGCCCTCCATCATTGTGTGTCCCAAGGTGCACATACAGCCACCATTAATTTATCTAGAATGGGGAGCAAAAGCAAAAATAGCTAAGGTATGTCTATGCATTTGCAATTACTTTTCCGACTGCATTATAAATAAAACCTAAGTCAGGTAGGTACTTTTACAAATTCTACTCAATTATTTAGTAAAATACGCCTAGGTTAATCTCAAAACATTTTGCTAGTCTAAGTCCAGGGTCAGCAACATTTTTGAGAAGTGGGTCAAAATGACACAGCCTGGGTCTAAGGCAGGCAGTACTTAGCATGAGATTCTCAACTTTATTTACGAGCATTGATTTACTAATTCCATCCTACTTAGTAGCCAGGGAAAATGGTTCATAACACTGAATTAGATGCATATAGTAATCTTAAACTTTTAAAGTTTCTGTAAGTTTGAGAATGATCAGTTGCATCAATAGGGTGATCCTTCACCCTTGGGTGAAATTTACACTCCCTTCCCTCCATCCATTATGTTCACTTAAAAGACAGCTGAATGTGCCAGGTGGGTCAGAAAAAGAAAGAGCTACGTAACCAAGAAGGATGGCATTCTATTGGCTGCTCCCAGACATGAAAAAAATGTCAAAAACCAGCATTTTACTAGAAGAGGAAGCGCTTTAGTTTGACCCGCCTCCACAGTGTCTATATAGACTGTTTCAGCTGGGCTTTTTGGCACTTATCTAAAACTAATTCAATCAGCTATAAAAGTGCCAAAAAAACCCACTGAAGTGCCCTACCTGTACAGACATTGGGCAAATTGGGTCAAACTAACACGATGCCTCTTCTGGACATGTGCTAGACTTGGTGCAGAGGCACACTGAGCTGAAAGTAAAGTGCAGTTTTCTTTTTTTCCTCCACATCTGTAAGCAGCCATTTACTTTGCTGCCCCACAGTCAGATGCATCGCCTACTAGCATCATAGGTGCCAAGTTTTATTTCTGCTGGGGGTGGGGGTTAAGATTATGGACATGTGGAAAGTTTTATGCCTTTCAGGTGAAAGCCCTCTTTCCAAGGCGGGGCAGGGCCCCGGGGCCCTCCACATACTCAGCTCCTCAGACTTGTATTATACAACTGGCTTGTTAAGAGACAAGGCATACATCTGGATGAGAAAGATAGGTAAGAAGTCTACTATGTTCTATCTACATTTAGATACCACAATGCTAGGACGCATCAGAAAGCTCTTCTTATATTAGGGTTACCATATTTCCAGTTTCAAAAAGGAGGACACTTGGGGGGTATGATTTGGGGGG